AGGGAGTCTTGGCCTGGGAGCCTGGTTAGGTTGGTGGATCTGAAACCTGCTGATCACGAGAAGCACAAGGAGAGCTTTAAAAATGCAGGTGTTGGGGCCCCTGGGTTGGTGGACACGGGCAGGTGCTGGGAGGGTGGCGCCTGGAGAGGGCACGGAAGCTCCATACCCCTTCCCACAGGCCTCGCCTGATGCATTGCTTCCATCTGGATGTTCCTAGAGCCTTTTATAATAAACTGATGACCTAGCAAATTAAGAAAACCCAAACAAACAAAATGCAGGTTTCATGTCCACACACAGTCCTAGTGAATCAGAACAGGTGCGGGGACAAGAATAGGCACTGGAGAAAAGTGTGCCACGAGATTCTGATGAAAAGTCAGGCTTGGAAACCCATGGGTTGTGCTCTGTCTGTTTCCTTGAGTTTAAGAATCCATGACGTGATATACGCTGAGTTGAATTTTGAAGAGTGAAGCTACAGTAAACAAGGGCCAGAGTGTCTTCGTAGGAAATGGGGAAAGGGAAAGAGCATAAAAGGTGGGTTACCGCGTCCCTGTGACACCCAAGGCACGGCCAGGATACAAGGACTCCTCGTCCAGTAGATGACGTGGATCCGTGGGAAATGTAGGTACGTGTCAACTCTCTGCCAACCGGCAGTATAAATTCCCTTTGAAACTCGTAGTCACAAACAAGCCCTCCCCAGTAGATACATATGGCATCCTCTGTTCTGAGAGGTGAGCTAGTTCTTAGACAAAGCTGGAGACAGAGGGAGACATCAAGAGGTTGTGGTCAATGAAGGGAACAGAGGAGGGGGCAGCCTTTGTCACCTTTTAACTAGAATGAGATGTCATTTTGGGTAGCAAGACATTTAAGAAATGCCGCTAATTGCTTGTTGCCATCACTGATTTGAAGAAGGTGGACAAGCAGGAAATGGACTTTTAAAATGAGCCATCTCCAAAAATTAAGGCGGAGTACCGAGACCTAGTGGGGAGCAGGTTAGAGCATTAAACACTAGTCAAGTGTTAACTGCAATGACAAGCACTTCCCTAGTCATCTTAACTGGGTAAGCACCTCCTAGTTATAATATTGAGATACTGGCTTCTTCTCGGAGCAGCATTTCCCAACTTTGTACGGAGGACGACGCAAAGAACTCGCGAATGCAAATGTGCGCCAAATATCGCGTGTCGCTGGATGGATTTGTCCCCTGGATATTTTTACTACTATTTTTGAAATTGATGTAGATGCTACTGTAATTAATAAAGTACATACACAGTTATTTAAGAGGCTTACTGAACTCATGGCAGCTTTTCATCACCAAGAATGGTCCCAGTCAATGGGGACCAAATCACAAACACTACCATCTGGGGATGCACAGACCTCCTGCTTGAAAGAGTGAAAACCGAGCTCCGTAGCTTACGAAGGCCTATTTGTGTTCACGTTTCTCCCATGCACTCTACAAATAGCTTTTCCTGGGCTCGTCTCGAGCTGGCTCTTCTGGAGCCAACAGGAAATGGGACGGGAGCACAGAGAGAGGCTGGAGGAAAGAGCAATGATTTTGCTGCCTTCCTTTGGAGATGTGGGGGTGGTCTGCTTCCCCCCACGTGGAAATCTTCATACGTTTTCCCAGCAAAGAGAACTCTCTGAGGCTGCCAACATAACTGAAATAAAGTGTAATTTAGTTTAAAAAAAAACCTCTGCTGTTAGAACACCGAAGAATTATTGGGAAGAGGGATTGTCTGAATTATTCACTGCTTCAAAAAGTAATCATTGATTTTCTACAACGTGCAAGGTTTGTAAACTGCCCTCCAGCAGTTTACAAGATAGCGAGGATGCTACCAGGAGAGGAACAGAAAAGGAATGTTATGCACGGGAAAAAGCTCGACACTGTAATTCATTAGTTTATATTAAATTAGATTATAGCTACACAATTTATAAACCTTTTTCAAATGATGAAATTCAGTGCTGGCAACTTGTTGAAAATGACACACCCACACCATGTGGTGGCAGTGTGAATTGACACAATCCTTAACCAAAGAGATCTGAGGGTGTGTTCAAGAGCCTTAAAATATTCAGACCCCTTGATCCAGTAAATTTACGGGAATTTTATTTTAAGTAAATAAGCCAAAGGAAGTTAAAAGTTATATGCAGAAATATTTTCATTGAGTACAATTTCTAATATTGTAAATTTGGAAGCAATCAAAAGGATTAACAACAGAGGAATATTACAGTAAACTACAGTAGGGCTACTCAATGAAATACGATGAAGCCATTAAAAGGTCAATAACAAAGAATTACAGAAACACGACAAATGCAGAAGATAAAGTACTGAGTGAAAGCAAGCAGAATATAAAATTGTATCTAAGCCCTAATTATAGTTGAATAAAAATATATTACCTGCGTTACCTACAAATAAGGACTGAACAGAAATACAAAAAAATCCAAATGATTTTATGTATCATCAGGAATTTGTGCATGAATTTTATGTTTTTATCTTAGAGTATATTTATATCGTTATAAAAGGAAGTGCAAAAAGGATTTCTACCAGGCTCACAACCTCCTGCGCTTCCAGATTATGGATTTGAGGGGCTATTAAAATTAATTTCCAATCTAAATATGTCCCTCCTCTCGGGGAGAGGGAGAAAATTGAGCTTACAGTACAAGACTCTGCAGTGCTGGGGTTTCACACAGACAAGTCCCTGGGTCTCCCTTCCAGTCTGGAAGGGGATGCAAAGAGATGCATGATGACTAAACTGTCTGACACTGTTGTAACAGGGTAACTGGCGTGTTTCATTTAAGCCTCACAAAGCCCCTATGAAGCGTTCTTTCCGTAGGGGAAAACAGACTCCTACTTTCCATAGGCAAAAACAAAGGCTCAGCGGGGCTGGCCCCGTGGCCGAGTGGTTAAGTTCGCACACTCCGCTGCAGGCGGCCCAGTGTTTCGTTGGTTCGAATCCTGGGCGCGGACATGGCACTGCTCATCGGACCACGCTGAGGCAGCGTCCCACATGCCACAACTAGAAGAACCCACAACGAAGAATACACAACTATGTACCGGGGGGCTTTGGGGAGAAAAAGGAAAAAAATAGAATCTTTAAAAAAAAAAAAAAAAAAAACAAAGGCTCAGAGAGGTTATGTGGTTTGCCCATGGTCACACAGCTAGATGGTAGTGGAGCCAATTTTCAAACTGATTGCAAAGCCTCCTCGTTCTCCTCAACACTCCCCTTCCAAGCCGATTTGGGAGAAGATGAAGGCACATTGTCTGTGATGAAGTTCAAGTCAGTTTGCACAGAGGTCCTCAGCCAGTTTGGCCCTGGAGATTTTAGGCCAGTTCTCAATCCTGGTTGTGCGTTAGAATCATCAAGGGGTGAATTTTAAAATTTTGGGGGCCTAGCCCTCACCTCCAGAGATTTCGATTTAATTGGTCTTAGGTGCAGCTGGACCAGGGTATGGGGTAAAAAACTCCCAGGTGACTCTTCAGGCAAGGGGGGCCGGGACCCACTGGGTTAGGCCCTCTGCACGTCCTGCCCTCCTCCTGTAAACCCTTCCCCCAGCCCCACAAGTTGAATTAGAACAGCACTCCATTCACTCTTTTTATTTTTTATTGCGGTAAAATACACGTAACACAGAATTGACCCTTTTAAAGCGTAAATACAGCGGTACTAAGTCCATTCACAATGTTGTGCATTGTGTCCATCATCACTGTCTAGTTCCAGAACTTTTCATCATCCAAATAGAAACCCAAGAAGAAGTCACTCCCCATTCCCTCCCACGCCTAACTCCCGGCAACCACCAGTTTGCCTTCTGTCTCTATGAATTTGCTTACTCTGAACACTTCATACAAATGAGATTAAGCAATACGTGGCCTCATGTGATGGCTTCTTTCAGTTAGCATAATGTTTTCAAGGTTCATCTACGTTGAAGTACGTCATTTCTTTTTATGGGTGAACAATATTCCATTGGATGGATATACCACATTTTATTTGACATTCATCTGTCGATGGACATTTGGGTTGTTTCCATCTTTTGACTTCCATTCACTCTTCTTCCCAAATCTGAAGTTCCCTAGGGCACACCTTTCCAGACACAAGAACTGGAGAGGAAAAGCTTTATAAGTTAACCATGGGGCTCTGGAGTAGACCGGTGCTTCTCCAAGTGTGATCTCCCACCAGCAGCGGCAGCATCACCAAGGAACTTGCTAGAAATGCAAATTCTCCACCTCTGCCTCAGACGTACTGAATCCAAATCTCGGGGGGCAGGGAGTTATAAAACTCTGAGTTGTAACCATTCCTCCAGGTGCTCAGACACAGGCTGAAGTTTGAGACACACTGGTGTATGTGACACTGGCGTGGGGTTCGAACACTAGGCGTTTTGCTGCCTTCTCTCAGTCAAGGCTGCCCACACTGCGGACGAAGCACCTTTGGAGCAGCGCGGTCCAGCGCTGGGCAGCCTCCCTGTCTGTCTGGACCCGAGATGCTAGAGTCACTGAGTTCAGCTGGTGCACAAGACACCTTCAAGTCTCACAGCTCCCGGTAATCAACAAACACACGTTGTAAGAAATAGACGTAATTAGAGAGCTGCGTTCTAGCAGTTTACGTTCTTGAGTGTCTCGTACACAGGGACCAGAAATCAACACGATCCCTTCAAAATGTTACCAGGAACCAACTGGCAGGGTCTCCACAGCTGGCTTTCTGCTTCTCCTTCTCATCTGGGCAGGATCCCTGCTCGTCCCACCAGCCTGGACTCCTGCTGACCGCTCAGTCCTTTGGCTCACGCGTCATGCCACCTCCATGCCTCTGCTCAGGCTGCTCCTCCTCCCTCTGGCGCCCGCTTACTCACTCTCCATTCATCCAACCCCGTTCACCCCTCATCGCTCAATCCAGCCTTCACCTCTCCTCCAGGAAGCCTGGTGGGGCCACCCCAGCCAACAGCCGTCTCCTCTTCTCCTGCTTTATTTTCAAGACCGCTATTCCTTACGCAACTACAGCGTGGCCATCTCCTGCTTCCGGTCATTTGTAAAAGCAGACTTTATTTTTAGAGCAGTTTTAAGTTCAAAGCAAAATCGGGCAGAGAGTATAGTGATTTCCCAATATACTTCCTGCCCTCCTCACACACACAGCCTCCCCCATTCTCAACACCTCCACCAGGGTGGCGCATTTATGACAATCAGTGAACCCACATCGACACGTCAGTCACCCAGAGTCCACAGTTTACGTCACGGCTCACTCTTGGTGTTGTCCATTCAATGGGTTTGAACAACGTATAAGGACACGTACCCACCATTATGGGATCATATAGATTCGTTTCACTGCCTTAAAAACCCTCTGTGCTCCACCTGTTTTTCCCCCTCTCCCCCAGCTCCTGGCAACCATACATCGTTTTACTGTCTCTGTAGTTCTGCCTTTTCCAGAACGTCATGTAGCTGGAACCACACAGTACGAAACCATTTCAGACTGGCTTCTTTCACTCAGTAAGAGGCATTGTCTTTTCATGGCTTGACAGCTCATTTCCGGTCATTTTTATTATGTGGTATTTTGTCTTGCCTCACAAAAATTTAATTCCCAACTATTCTGTAAACGCTGATACAGATGATGTGGGGGGTGTGTGGAGGAGGTGAGGGTATGTGGGGGAGGTGGGGGGGGAGGGGATGTCTATTTAAAACCAGGGGTGTGGCCACTTTCACGTATCAGGATGTAAATTATCGCACAGAGAAGAACCCCACCACGTGAGCCACGATGGAACTTGGAGGGTGAGAAAGGCAAGCTCCGGGCTCGGCTGGGAAGCCCAGGGGAAGACGAAGACTGAGCCACACTCTGCTCCTCCGTAAGGAAGCAACTGAGTCTGGGGATTGGAGGAGGTAGTAAGTGGGGGGAAGAGCAGACTCAGGAGGATAACGGGGAGCCAGGGCTTGAGGGAGCATGGTGCGCGATCCCGATAAGGGACACGACATGTGGCTTTCTGCTATGGCCTCTGCTGTGCTGTGCTCCAATTCCTCCACGTTAGACCCAACTGTGAGCACAAGCGGGCTGCCTCCCCAGCCCCAGACACAAAGGAGAGGGAACTGGGGCCCTGCACAGCAGGCGGTGACAAAGGCAGCGAAAGAGCAGACCCCACCAGGACCTGACAGGCCCGGACAGGGGTGGCGGGCAGAGCTGGACACCACAAGTCCTCAGAGACCATCTCGGGAAACCCCAAGGAGGGCCTGGCTCTCACAGAAGGGGAGGTGGGGCTCTGCCATCCATCGGGGTCCGCAGAAGAGCAGGAGCCCAGAAGGCTGCACCGCTCGAGTCCTGCTCGTGTCACAATGACAACCACGCAACGTCCCCCATGCAGAAACAGCACAATGCTGCATCTGGCCTTTCTGGAACCTTCTACTGTGATGGGGGTCACAGGGTGGGGAGTCCTTGAGAGTGTTTCCTGCCAGACAATTTAGAGGGTCCAATACATTAGGCAAAAATCACAATAAAAGGAATGCACGCTGAGTATCCTATGAGTGCCATATACTCATTTTTTTTTGTGAAATAGCCAAAACAGGAGTGCAACTGCCTTGACAGTTTTTCAGACTCAAATTACTGCAGCCATGCTGCGTGGAGCACTTCAGGTCCTCCGTCACCCATGTGTCTGCGTGTGACAGTGGACCGAAGATGCCCTTCTAAGGCAGGACTTGGCCCTGCTCCCTGCTTGCCCTCCCCTTTCTGAGCCGAGGCCACGAGCAAAACACTGCCCCTGGGGAACTCGGCAGGGGCTGGACATTTTCTCGAACTCACTGCAGCCCGGGATTCCTCAAAGGCTCAGCTGGCAAGGACCGTCACAAGGATGCTGAGTCCAATCGGTTTTCCAAAGCGACAGAGGGTCGTGGTACTGGCGCCAAGCCGCCTGCCTGAGCAGGACGTCTGGCTCGGGCTCACGAACTCAATGACCCCGGGCAGCTTTCTCACCCTGTTTTCCGGTCCTCCATTTACTCATCTGCAAAATGGGGAGGACCACCTTCCCAGCCTCACATGGTTGCTGTAAGACTTAATGAGGTGGCACAGGCAAGGGCTCAGCCTCTCGCTGGCTCCTCACAGTGCCCAGGAAGCATGACCTATTGTCACCCCTGGTGGAGTCACAGCAGCCGAGCAGACTACGCGTGGACTCCATTACACCGGCTTTTGGTGGAACGTTTCTATTAGACTACGCTGTGGCTTGCTGCCACTAGCCTCTCTTAGGGACAGCAGGTGGCCCCGGTCACTGGGTTTACCCTAAAGTGGTTTAGGACACCGTTTGCAACACTGCAGCGTCCTCCTTAGAAGGACCCTACAGAGCTCTTTCTTCCCGCCCAGCCTGGCATCCTGCCTCTCCCGAGCACTGTTTTCCTCTTAGAATCTCCGGGAATGATTCAGTAATCAGGTTCCGCTTCACACCAGCCTGAGAGGGCGCGTAGGGCCGGCCCATAGGTGTTTTCATGCGGGCCTCACATCCGGCTTCGGTTTATGGCTCCTCCCCTTGGTTTGGCGCATGCTGCGTCGCTCTCCACCTTGCAGTAATAACAGTAAACCGCCAAGCACCTGCTGCGGGCCAGCCCTGCACTAGGAACCTGAGGGGAACTGTCGTCCATGTTCGCCCAGGCCCACCAGGAAGACATCGTTTCCAGTTTAGAGGTAAGGAAGCCAGGGAGCAGTAAGATGATGGGACCGTCCAGGTTCCCCGGGAAGGGGAGTGAGGGAGCTGGGATTCCAGCCGCTGTCACACACGCCTAACGGATGCCCTCTCCCAGAGTGAAGGCATTTCTGTACACGGTCATGAATCCTTAGGGAACAGGGCATGGAGTAAACAAATAAGTCACATTCTAAATGATGTCTCCCCTTGCTCGTTCCCTCATTTAACTGGTGGGGCTATGATTGTGGTGTCTGATGCTTCAAAGTCCCCTGCGGGTCCCAGGACATCCTGACGAACAGCCCTGGGTGAAATGAAGGAGAGGTCGGGAAGCAGCGACCGCACAGGTGGGCTCTGCTCCTGGCACCAGAGCCGCGCTCCGTCCCTCAGGGCAGTGCCCCGGGCTCTGCTCCAGGCCCAGAAGCAACACCAGGACTGACGGGGCTTGCGCTCTGTGCCGCGTCCCTCACTGATCCAGATGAGTTACACCATCGCAGGGGTCCTCAGGTCACTCCCCGTGTGAAGTGTGAGACTGGAACACGTCCCTGCAGGAGGTCACGTGACGTAGCAGAGAAGACCCCAGCTCCAGAGTCTCTTGTCCCCATTTGAATCCAGGCCTACTTCCTCGCACTGTGCCTCAGTTTCCTTATCTGTAAAATGCGTGTGATAACCTAGGGAGGTAGGGGAGGATACTAGTTAAGAACACAGAGCCCAACAATCTTAGTTTGAATCCGGGCCCTAACTCTAGCAGAATGACCCTGAGCAAGTTGTTGAAGCTTTCTGAGCTCAGTTCTTCATCTGTACCTGGAGGATGCCGGTAGTCACTACTTCAGAGGAGGAGTAGGGGATAACGTAAATTAATATATACACAAAATAAACTGCGCTCGGCACACAGTAAGCACCACATTAACTGTTAGCTACTACTATTGCTGTACATGCGAAGTGCTTAGGGTGGCCTGCGATCGATGTCAGCTATTATCCCTGCCTGATTATTAAGACAGAACGGCAAGCAGCATTCTGGGAAACTCTGGTCTCCTCCAGTCTGTGTGAGGGGACAAACTCATGAGCAGCTCTTTGCATGGGAAACTGAGTAGGAATGCTCTCAGCTCTCCCCACGCCCCCCCCCAACACCCGACTCCCACCCCGTGCCAAAGCAAGGAGGGGAGTCTCGAAGGAGGGAAGAAGGTGAGGACAAAGCATCTTTGATGCAACCGGAGCAAGCTTCCTCAGCTCCTCGAGAGAGAGAGCCTCATCCTTCGAATTTCCAAACTAAATGAACCCACGAGCTCAACTCTGAAGCAGTACATAGACAAAATAGCCCCGAGGCCTAATGACTGAGGCTGTGTTTCTTATGTAAATTCACATGAACAAATAGGACACTTCCTATTTCTTCCTTCTCCAAGTACGGGAGTCGACACCTGGTTAAGCAGGGGTGAGGCTGCGCCCCTGGGGGCAGGGGGCATCCAGCCTCCCCTCCACCTGCTCCTTGCCGCTCCTTTCCTCCTCTCCGCCCTCTGGAATCACTGTCTCTTGTTGTCGTACCTCTGGGCACAGACAGCTACCCTGGCAAATGAGAGACGAGGTCAGAAACAGACACAAGAAGCAGAAAACCAACAGAAACAGAAGCTGGAGTAGAGCACTAAAAGGACTCTAAGGCTGCAGGTAAGAAACAAGCATGAAAGAGAGAAAAACACAAGTAGGAGAACAGGATTCGAGCATTGGGAAGTAGGACTGTGTTTGTCAGTAACCTTTATACAAAGCTCGCTGTGCGCCACGCAGACATACATCATCTCAGGTGATCTTTGGAGAGAGGTAGATACGGTGATCCTAATCAGTCTATAGATGGGGAACCTGAAGCTTACAGAGCCTTGGAGATTTGTCTGCTTACTACTGCGTCTGGTCTAAATCAGGAAAGATTGGGGAAGACTGAGAAAAGATCCATAAGGATAAAGAAAGGATCTAAAATTCAAGGCTTTCAACAAGAGGTTAAAAGTCCCAGAATTGTTTAGCATGGTGAAAAGAGGCCTGGGGAGGGGAGCGTAGAGGGGAGGAACGTTGGTGCTGACATCCGTTGCCCCTTCCCTTTTCCTAACGGGTCCTTGATGTCCTGGGGATGTGGCTGGGGGAACCAGCCCAGCCCCACCCTGGCTGCAGGAGACGGCTCTCCTGTGCTCAAGCCGGTCAGCACTGACCAACCCCCCACACGCCCCCCAGAGCAAATGATGCTGGGAGGAGTACAAGACCCAGTCGGAGCCAATGAGACATCATTTGAGCATCCTAGTGAGCGGATGCTTAATAATACTCTTAAGAAAGTAACACTGTGCACAGTATTTCATTTCCAAGGAAAGCAGTACAAGCAGAAGTGTATTGAAACTGCTTCTGGCCTTTCCTTACAGGGCAATCATTAAACACATGAATAAAGCCTGAACGATTCTTTAAAATCGCTTAACATTTACTGAGTCCCTGCTACGGGCCAGGTATTTGGCGTGAATTATCGTTTATCCTCGCAGTTCAGTACCACATAGGAGAAATCATTATTCCAGTCTCACAAATGAAGAAATCGAGTCTCAGAGGTTTAAACAAGGTGCTCACGGTCACATAACTAACAAACACAAGGTAGGCCTGGCCTCTGGGCACGCGGAGTGCCCACACCCGTGATTTTTACACTGCAGGGCCCTGGCCACAGATGTCTGCTAGTCCTGATGTTCTGCAACTGTTTTTCAATCTTTGTCTTTGGGAAACTCACAGCCTGGGCAATTCTGAAGAACCTTTCTATCGCTCTCACCAAGAAGAGGGACTGCAGCTGGGGACCAAGCCTATTGTCCTGGTCGGAGGTCCAACTATCCCCTCTCTTTCCTGCCCATCTTGCCCTCCCTCACTCTCTGGCTTTCTTGGGGAAATGGTAAATTGGGCACCCTAACTGTTTCTTCCTATTGGGGACGGGCAGTGTTGAGAGCACACATCCTAGATGTTGGCTCTGGCTCCTGGTCGGTCTTAACAATTACGCTGTCTCACTAGTGTTCATACTACTCCTTAGCTAAATGTTTGAATTTCCCTTTCATTGAAGACTTCGAGCTGGGCCTTAGGCTCCAAAATGCCCTTGGCCCCCATTGATTAGAGCTAATATGGTGCATCCAAATGGAACATATCTGACATCCGGTTCACACTGGGTTTGGGGGCCCTGCTTTTTGCCTACAAATGGATGCACCGAAGAGTTTGTTTAACATTGATTGAAGTTTAAGCATGTCGTGTTCCTTGTCTGATACTGTGTCATTCAGTATAAGCAGATGCTGACTCCACATGTGAAGTCATGTGAGGTGTCCTACCAGTGACTCTGAACTATTTGGAAATGATCCCCTCCTGATAAATATTTTTAAATATTTCAAAGTTAAAAAAAAAAAGCCAGATAAATAAAATAAAATTTCTTTCTCTTGGCCAAATAACCATATTTCTTACTTAGGTAAGTCCTCACTACTCCATAATCTTCAAATGAGGTGATGCCAGTAAAAGTGATAGGCAAAGGAACATACGAATGTCAGTCATTAATATTTCTTAGAACACTAATGACATTTTCTTTTCCCAAACAAGTCAGAGTCTCAAGCTTTTCTATACATAAGCCACCAGAGTACGATTTATCGTGGGATTCTCCCCACAGAAAACGATGTCCAAGAGAGTTTCCCAAATACACCAGTTATCCAGAGAGTTCACCACTGCCACGATCCATGTAAGAGCTTCACCAGTAGCCAATAAAAGAAGCGATGGGGATCTTTCTGCTTCCAGGAAATAGATATTTCCTAATAGGCAACTTAAAACGGAGAAATTGTCTTAAATATATTCTATATGCCCACGCAACATCCAGCAGAACGCCATTAAAATAGCGTATGTTCAACAGAATAAGACAAATCACAGACTCGGAGAAAATATTTGCAAAAGACGTATCTGATAAAGGACTGTGATCCAAAATATACAAAGAACTCTTGAAACTCAACAATAAGAAATCAAACAACCCAATTAAAAACGGGCAAAGGATATGAACAGACATCTCACCAAAGAAGATAGATATACAGATGGCAAACAAGCAAACATCATATATCCTTCGGGAATTACAAATTAAAACAACAGTGAGATACCACGACACACCTACTAGAATGGTCCAGATCTAGAATCCTGAAACCTCAAATGCTGGCTAGGACGTGGAGCAACAGGAACTCTCATTCACTGCTGGTGGGAATGCAAAATGCTACAGCCACTTGGACAGTTTGGAAGTTTCTTTAAAAACTAAATATACTCTTACCACATGATCCAGCAATTGCACTTCTTGGTATTTACCCACATGAGGTGAGAGCTTATGTCCATGCAAAAACCTGCACACGGAGATTTATGGCAGCTTTATGCATAACTGCCAACACTTGGAAGCAACCAAGATGTCCTTCAGTAGGTGAATGGGTAAACACACTGTTACACATCCAGACAATGGAATATTATTCAGCGCTAAAAAGAAATGCGCTATCAAGCCAAGAAAAGACAAGAAGGAAGCTTAAATGCATATTACTGAGTGAAAGAAGTCAATCTGAAATGCCTATGTACTGGATGATTCCAACGACATGACATCCTGGGAAAGGCAAAACTACAGAGAGAGAAAAAGAGAGAGTAGAAAGATCAGTGGTTGGCAGGGGTTGGGGGGAGGGAGAGATGATTAGGTGGAGCACAGAGGATTTTTAGGGCAGTGGACTATTCTGGATGATACTATAGTTGTAGATAGATGTCATTATATGTTTGTCCAAACCCATAGAATGCACAACACCAAGAGTGAGCCCTAATGTAAACTGCAGACTCTGGGTGACAAGGACGCGTCAATGGAGGTTCATTGATAATAACAAATGTACCACTCTGGTGGGGCGTGCGGATAGTGGGGGAGCCTGTGCACGTGTGGAGCAAGGGGTAAATGCGAACTCTGTACTCAATTTTGCTGTTGACCCAAAACTGCGCTAAAAAATAAAGCCTATTTAAAAAATTGTATATGTTCAATAAACTCAAGTTAATTAACATAATTTCATTAACTACTTAATCGTAGGTGCTATGGTAAATTAAGCTGTACTCGCGACCATCCCTAAGCCTGTACACATTTGGTTAAAACAGGTATTATTCAAAGACCTTAAAAGCAACTATAGGCGACTCAGCTCTTACATTCTGCCAATGGAAAACATCAGGATCTGTTTCACACCCTCAGGTCAAATAATCAACCGACGACCGAGTCAGTTTTATCAGAAAATACCTAAGGCTCAAGCCAAGCCAACTCCAACTAGAGACACCACGGATGCCTCGGTTATCCCGGGGGTGGTCGCAGATGCTCCTTCTGACGAGCAGACAGTGGTGCATTTCCACTGGACACAGTCATGGAAATAGACCAAAGAAGTTTCTGTAACCCTGGAAACAAAGCCGGACGTATCATTTCAGTCTGCAGGGCAGATTCTAAACAGCCCAAATGCTGTTAAACACCATCCTTAATGCCGCACACGTAGTCTTCACCATACACACACCATTCGTGGGAGGAGCGGCCGGGAAGTTCTTATGAAAAGATCGGTACCTCTAGTTTGAAATTAAAGCAATAAGTGTGGGAGAACGTTTTATGCAGATTCCTTCTCTTCTAAAGCTTAGAGAGGTATTTTGT